GCTAAAACCCTGGTCTGGTGCCTAAGTTTCAGGGCAGGTCGATCTTATGAGGGCCTGAAAATGGCCCTCCGTTTCAGGCTGAAAAGTCTCAGGGCCTGGAGGGCCCTGTTTTAGGCTGAACGACACAGGGCCTGTAGGCCCTTGTTTTCAGGCTTTCAGGCTGAAACGACACAGGGCCTGTAGGCCCTTGTTTTCAGGCTTTCAGGCTGAAAACGACACGGGCCTGAAAATGGCCCGTGCAGCCTGTTGCAGGCGCAGCATGTAGCAGGAGGCGAAAGTGGAGGACTGCCGTCTTCACCCAAGTACAAAGTACGGTGATTATTGCTGTATTTGGGGCAAATTGCGTCTAGATACGGCAATAATGACCATATATTGTCTTCGGGAAAGACGTTCGGGGTAATGAGGAGGTTGTGGATGAGGATGATGGTTAAATGTCACTGCTGCTGATGATGATGGTGATGGTGGTGGTGGTGGTGGTGGTGATGACGATGATGATCGTGATCATCATCATCATAATCATCATAATCATCGTCATCCTCATCGTCATCGTCATCATCATCATCATCATCACCATCATTATCATCAGCAGCAGCAGCAGCAGAAGCACCATGATAATCAGTAGTCATTGGCATCAGCATCATTATATTGCCATTTTATCTGTCATCATTGTCGCCGTCATCATTGTTGTCGTCATCTTTGTCCTCGTGATGTCAAACTCGGCTGTCCACTGCCTAGATCGATCGAAGTTCAAAAAGTAATGATGGCAGTGATGATGATAGCAATCATCATCTCGATCATGACGACTATTGATGGTGACAGCAACAGCGACGATGGCGGTGAATCTGGTGATGATGACCATGATGACGATGACGGTGATGATGATGATTCCACATCGGTCTCTCTTCTATTGTGTTGAAAAGGCTTTATGAAAGCGACCATGATATGACGAAATTGATTTTCAGTCATCTCTGCACCTCCCCCCCCCCCCCCCCACAGAAAGCACTCGGCCCCCCCCCTGCACGGCGTTTTTTGTTCGCTGCAGGGGTGCTCGAACAGGTCAACCGCACTCAAGAGCGTTTGAGCAGCGCTCGCCGACTGCACGTTCAATGAACGCCCAACTACATAGCTGACCAGAAAGATTGCTGGTATACATTTGTTACGAGGGTGCGTTACGTTCAGCGAGAAGAGCGCACTACCGTCTTCCCCCCGGACATAACGCAAACTCACAACAAATGTATACCAGCAATCTTTTGGGTCA